TTGTTTTGGGTTTGGACTGTTTTTACTCCTTGTTACATAAGTAAAATGTGGTCTAAAGGTTGCCGGTTTGGCGGAAAGCCGCTTTGGTCCTTAAAATACATTCACAATTGGAAACTTTTATTAATAGTTGTTTCCATACCTTTGCAGATTGCATGGGTTTAGGGAGATGGGGTGGTATGAATGGTCGTAAACTCTGTTTGTGACGGATTTAAAGCCGGGTTTAACTGTAAGAGTGGGTATACGTATGTATGTTACTTAAATACAGTCAAATGGTGAGTATTTAAGCCAAATTTGGGGTTGTGGTTAAAGTCTCACCTCTTTCATATTATAACTTTAGATCTATGCATAAAGATTCAGAGTAAAAAAACAACTTTTCAAGTCAAAATAGGGAATTGCATTGGACATCCCCAATAACAATATAGACATAATCGGGCATTTCTGACAATGCCCTAATATCTACCTGTGTCAATTATTAAATTATGATATATGTCATATCAAGGCTATCCTAAACGTATCAAGTGAAATCACTTTGACGCACTTTTCAAACCTAAACATTTATTTGAAACATTTATGTGTGTAGTGTTTTAGAACCACCCAAAATTGCACGATGCCAGTCTTGCTCATATTGAGCCTTAAGATGTTTCCGAGGGGAAAAGGGGAACAATTTGAGTTTTTCACAAGTCGACAAATGAACATATGTTATTTTGAAACCCAGTTAATTTTACCCCTCTCTGGTGCATGTAATAACATGTTAAATGATTTCAGCGTGTGGAGGACAAGTCGAACAGTTTAAACCAATATCTAACACAGCGTATAAATGCGAAATATAAGTGTATATCTCTCAAGATCTCTTCAGATAACATCAGTTGATAGTTGTACAAAAAAACGTTTACAAGTTTCTTTGTCTTCACTCATGTTTAATCCCCAATTTTCACAATCATATAAAAAATCAAATACCAGCTGGAGATATTCGCATCCAAAGTACAGCTAATAATGCCCGTTTCGCCTTTAAGTAATATGTCTGAAATGTATTCTCTATGACAAAGAACTGAAAAAGTATACATATTTTTTTATAAAATGAAACTGACCACACCCAAAAAACAATTTCGTGCCCAGCTCGTTACACACACATTTCTTAATGTCATAACTTTCAAATTTCACCGCTAAACACAAATTCTTACAATATGTTTCAGTCTGTAAACTTATGATCGTGTCTATCTGCAGTGAGATAAACACCATCTTCACAATTTGCAAAAATACTACTTTGAGACCCACGAATAATAAGAGAGAAAAATGGTTTATAACATTAGCTGTGTAAATAGAAAAAAAATGACATACAATTTAAAAGTAACGTCCAGCCATAAGGCTTATGAGACACAATAAGACAATGAATACATAAAACTTAATGTGTAAACAAGGGTACAGAAAGAGTATTCTTAAATTGCATGTGTGTTCTAAGCTTACTACTGTTCGTTAGATTTCTGTCAAATTATAAACACTCCAGCAACCTCAATTTTGATATATTTTCAGCATTATTAAACAAAGCAGTTCACAGTTATTTGAGTTAAAACCATTCAGGATAGAAACGTGACAAATATATTTTTTTAGCTAACCTGTAGCATACCTGGTGAAGATTCTTCTGTATCTTCTGAATACATGATATTAATAAAATCTATACACCAGTCTTTCCAATAATATCATACCTCGAAATAAGTATGCTCCATTGCATCGAAAGTGAACTTTGAAAAATGATTCCAGATCTGAAACAAATGGGCCGCCAACTTGTTTTCCAAAGACCCTAAAGGATTTGGTTCTCGATTTGTATTCGAAAATTTTCTTTGTGATGATCCGTAGCCCCAAGGTTGTAGAAAAGACGATATAAACGAGAAAGGGATGGCGGGATACGGAACCACAGCTGTACATGGTGGATGGTCTTGCAAGATATAAAATTGGAATTATTTGTGTTAAATAAAAAGGCAATACTGGATTGGAAAATGAGAAATTTAAAAAAAACACTAATGCAAAAATAAAATCGCTCACGAAAAAAATTAAACAAATACTGATAACGTCAAGACACTTATAAGTGTGTCAAGCACGGTATCAGTGACGTAGGGAGATAAAAGCGCGAGTTGGGCGATCGTTTTGTTCCAAAGGGCAATAACTCTCCTTTTGAAATGATATAAGCGACGGTCTAAACTGTCGCTTCTGGTCTGGTTCCAGGATCAATGCGCGCTGCGACAACTTCTGACATGTAGAGACGGAGCCAAGCTAAAGAGTTATCCTGTTGCACCTTCGTTCAAAAACGGTCGTTTACAACTGAATATTTTTAACTAGCACATATTTTGTAGTGATTATTAGTTCATAATATCAACATTTGTTGAGTCTTCAGCTACAAGACGAATTGTCACTTTGAAATATAGCGGGAAAAACGTCATGAAAAATGGTATATTGCCAAGGTATTTTCTACGTCAGAAAACAGCGAGGCATTCTGTCAGTCTGGGCTAACATATTGCATCCATGAAATAATGCAAACTCATTTTATTTATCAGCCTTTGTGTTATTTCCCACAACAATTCAAGTATTCAAATCTCAACAAATACTACCATGGACTTCAATTTTATAAAATTAGTGATACGCCAACATTTGCAGCACACAGACATCTTTGACAGGCCTTTACCAATGATCTATATAGTAAGTATACATCCATGCCTTTACAAATATTTTAAGAAGAAATAACGTTCAAAATAATAAAACAACTGATTTTAAATGTTACTTTTTATACCAAAATTAAAGTTTCATCTGAATATTTAAATTTATATTATTATTTTAGAAATAGGCCAAATGAACATCTACCATGCATCTATTAAGCACTCAGTTACTCAACTGCAATATACATACCAGTCATCATACATTGAAATAAGAGATTTTATTATTCTGCCCCTTATAACATGTGTCCCATCAATAAGTGTTCTGAGTCATCACAGGTGTTAATTCATTGAGCCATCATTTCTTACAGAATTCTGATACTCATGCTCTTAAAATAGTAGTTAATTACAGAGATGTGTCCCAACAAACAACAAATCATACTGACTAGCCCACAAAATGTGTATGATGCATAAATAGATCTAAATCATAGTTTTATCTTCTTGTTTTAGTAACATTATATTTATTTTAATGTAGACAAATTATTTCCCATACAAACCCACACACTATCCTGCTGTATCTAAGTATCCTGATTTTCATTCAACAGTACTTCAAGACACCTGTAGTATAAAGTATATATTGTAGATATTATTATCATATAGCAAATATGAATTTTATATGTAAATATGAATATGAAAGTTTATCATCAAATCTTCTGATGGTTAAATGAATGCAAATTAAACCCCATTCATTCCATGTAGATAAATGGATTTATTTATGTTATTTGTTTTTGCATATAACAGATTATACTTATATATGTTACAGTCAGTGTCTATAATCAGGCCCAATATGTATTTTGACTGAAAATTTCAGTCAATATGCATATTGACTGATTCACTCAGGTAAGGTATATATTTTCTTAAATTTTCATTCATATATTATTGCCTGAAAAATCGACCGGATTTTAGACAGACTGGCTGAAATGAATAAGACTGCATAATTTAATCTCCTCAATTTAATTTGAATCTATTTTGATCTTATCAAGATCAAAGTAACTTTTGTAAGAAATTAAAAATGTTTTTACAATGAATTGATTGATTCTCCAAACCTGGAACAATACCAGAGTCCCTTTTTTATGTTACTTATCATTATTAGAATAATATTCAGTTCAGAAACAGATGACAGCTATAAAGTCATGCACCTGTAATCAAATACTAGTACACATGCACAAGTGCGCCAAGTTATTAAATAAAATAATAAGAGTCATTGTGCAATGCAGATATCTTTTGGTGTGAAGAGAAAAAAGAATAACATTAATAATTTGTTTATGTTGGAATTTGAAACATCAGTTTAGAACAAGGAAACATAAAAAGCAAGGCCTAATGAAGTTAAGAATCAGCTTTATCTGTGTCACAATCATATGATTATTGTCAATGCAAACTGGATGTAGACACTGCATTGTTAATACAATCAACATTATAGAGATTAGCAATTACTATGAATATATTGTTTTATTTTATATAAATTGAAGTTGGTACAAATACTCTTGAATATGTATTTTAACTAATATATAGGGTCCTCTGTGTCTGATTTTTTTTTCTACTTTGTAAAATTAAAAAAAGGCCAAAATAATATATATCTTTCATTGATCATATTGAAATATATTCATGGTAGTATTTGAACATTGTATCATGATATCTAGTTGATGACGTAATTGTACAGTGCCTGTTACTCTTACAATTTCTTGAGAACATTTCTCATTGCTCTTTGTTATATATCTGACAAATACTTACATGTGTTGCTGTCAATATTCACAACATTGAGGCTACGGGGAACATTGCAAAAGACCTTCACATTTTGCGTACCGTATCTTCTCACCGTTGTACATACTGAAATGCATGCATATGATGTAGCCTGCTCGGCGATGCTACAACATAGATATAGGAACGTATACAAAATCTACTTAATTTTCATATTCATACATCAAGGGCAACGCTTTCAGTACCGATTGCAAAACGTCAACAAAGCGACCTGGGATGAACGATCAGCTGATCTCACCGCATCGCTTCGAACGCCTATCTAGTGGATAACTATACAATATAATCAGTCGTGGTCATCCCTGATGTATCATTAAATCAAGGAACATTTATTTCCGGACATGGCAATAGATAAATCATTGTTTAGGCGAAAAGATATGCTGTCCACACACAAGCGTGACCGTTGCCGACAGAGGTGAAGGTTATACTAGTTAACTGTCTATAGGCGTCATAGTAACATGTAGTGCTCGTATCGCGCATACCACATGCGCTGTCAGTTTAAGGTTGGACCGTCCGGGTCAGCGCACCTAGCGGGTTAGTGAAGGGAAGATAAATTGAAAAAGGTCGCCCTGGCCGTTACAATTCCTCGAGAATTCTGAATTCATGCTGGCAGGGGAAAGAGGAATAGCTATTCTTTCGGTATAAAAAGTGTGTTCACCAGCACACAGTCAGACAGTAACTCGTCAGGGAGCAGCACGGACAGGCATGGAGTCCTCACACAGAACCTTAGTTATATATACAGGAGGGACATTCGGAATGATTGAAGGGGAAAACGGTATGATGTTTTATTATTATATCAGTTTTCAGACATAACGTAAATAATGTTCACAGGAACCAGTCAAAATACTTAAGAATTTCTCACAATTTATATGTTGTGTATGCGATGCTTACATTTTGAGTAAAGGGCATTTTAATTGACTTACAGTATAACTTTTTCATCATAACGGATGTTGCTATTTTTTTGTTCATGCTATTTTTTCTCCCCTAGTTTCTTTCAAAACGGGGTATACCTGGTTTGTCCACTCCATGGCTTTGCGTCATTTTGGGCTTTGCTCCCAAATTAGAATGACGTAATATGATTCTGAGACTTGACGGGGGGTGGGTGGGGGTTGGGTGAGTACTTAAATTTATGAGCCAAAATATTTGCAATATGAAGCAGAATTATTTTTTTCTAGAATGTTCAGGTACAATAAATTCGTCTCGATAAAATACCTGTTGCCATTTAGTTTCGTGATACACACTCTCTCGATATACATATTGGTACTCTTCGCTCTGGTTCAAGTTGCAGTGGTTCCCGTTTGTGTGCATACTGTACACCACAATTATCCCACACGTCTGAAGCATGTTTGAAAAAAGGTCTAATGATAAACTATTTTTACTTTGAGTATATTTGAGTTTCATCATTGAAGAAATCACTGAAACGTATGGTTGAATCTATATGTCTGTTAGAAACACGACTTGGATAGATTTGATATTTTTACACTTTCCACTGGATTCGCATCAAATTTACCAAGTTTCCAGTTTAACACATTATAATTTTCATTAACAGAATTAGGTACAAGCTATCGAATCCAAGATTGCATTCTTCCGTAGACTTACAAGAATGCACATTTGCAATTCCTACAGCAAGACAAATCTAGAAAAGAAGAGAAATATAGAAACGTAATTATCACAACATTCTCAGCGTTAACTCAATTTTTTTTCTTTATTTTTTTAAATAGTGAGGTGTATGAATATTCCTAATTATTTCTGTTTTCGTTGATTGGGGAAAGCCGCTTTACCAAGTTGCATCAAATGCAAGTCAATATAAGCATGACGGATATATTTCACAATAGTATGCGAACTGTGTCAGTTCGTTTCTTGTTAATTTCTCGGGGCTGGGAATTTTGTTCATCTTGGGGGTTGGGGGGATTGGGGTTGGGTGAGTACTTAAATTTATGAGCCAAAATATTTGCAATATGAAGCAGAATTATTTTTTTCTAGAATATTCAGGTACAATTAATTCGTCTCGATAGAATACCTGTTGCCATTTAGTTTCGTGATACACACTCTCTCGATATACACATTGGTACTCTTCGCTCTGGTTCAAGTTGCAGTGGTTCCCGTTTGTGTGCATACTGTACACCACAATTATCCCACACGTCTGAAGCATGTTTGAAAAAAGGTCTAATGATAAACTATTTTTACTTTGAGTATATTTGAGTTTCATCATTGAAAAAATTCACTGAAGCGTATGGTTGAATCTATAAGTCTGTTGGAACACGACTTGGATAGATTTGATATTTTTACACTTTCCACTGGATTCGCATCAAATTTACCAAGTTTCCAGTTTAACACATTATAATTTTCATTAACAGAATTAGGTACAAGCTATCGAATCCAAGATTGCATTCTTCCGTAGACTTACAAGAATGCACATTTGCAATTCCTACAGCAAGACAAATCTAGAAAAGAAGAGAAATATAGAAACGTAATTATCACAACATTCTCAGCGTTAACTCAATTTTTTTTCTTTATTTTTTTAAATAGTGAGGTGTATGAATATTCCTAATTATTTCTGTTTTCGTTGATTGGGGAAAGCCGCTTTACCAAGTTGCATCAAATGCAAGTCAATATAAGCATGACGGATATATTTCACAATAGTATGCGAACTGTGTCAGTTCGTTTCTTGTTAATTTCTCGGGGCTGGGAATTTTGTTCATCTTGGGGGTTGGGGGGATTGGGGTTGGGTGAGTACTTAAATTTATGAGCCAAAATATTTGCAATATGAAGCAGAATTATTTTTTTCTAGAATATTCAGGTACAATTAATTCGTCTCGATAGAATACCTGTTGCCATTTAGTTTCGTGATACACACTCTCTCGATATACACATTGGTACTCTTCGCTCTGGTTCAAGTTGCAGTGGTTCCCGTTTGTGTGCATACTGTACACCACAATTATCCCACACGTCTGAAGCATGTTTGAAAAAAGGTCTAATGATAAACTATTTTTACTTTGAGTATATTTGAGTTTCATCATTGAAAAAATCACTGAAGCGTATGGTTGAATCTATAAGTCTGTTAGAAACACGACTTGGATAGATTTGATATTTTTACACTTTCCACTGGATTTGCATCAAATTTACCAAGTTTCCAGTTTAACACATTATAATTTTAATTAACAGAATTAGATTGCATTCTTCCGTAGACTTACAAGAATGCACATTTGCAATTCCTACAGCAAGACAAATCTAGAAAAGAAGAGAAATATAGAAACGTAATTATCACAACATTCTCAGCGTTAACGCAATTTTTTTTTCTTTCTTTTTTTAAATAGTGAGGTGTATGAATATTCCTATTTATTTGTGTTTTCGTTGATTGGGGAAAGCCGTTTTACCAAGTTGCATCAAATGCAAGTCAATATAAGCATTGACGGATATATTTCACAATAGTATGCGAACTGTGTCAGTTCGTTTCTTGTTAATTTCTCGGGGCAGGGAATTTTGTTCGTCTTGGGGTTGGGATTTTTGGAACCCATGTTTGTCTTCAAAAGCTAATTAACGGAATCGCTTGGTTAGGCTGGCTGATGTTCTTGATGCCCGTCATCGTATCCCAATGGGCGATCTTTTTCAATTTATCTTCCCTTCACTAACCCGCTAGGTGCGCTGACCCGGACGGTCCAACCTTAAACTGACAGCGCATGTGGTATGCGCGATACGAGCACTACATGTTACTATGACGCCTATAGACAGTTAACTAGTATAACCTTCACTTTGTCGACAACGGTCACGCTTGTGTGTGGACAGCATATCTTTTCGCCTAAACAATGATTTATCTATTGCCATGTCCGGAAATAAATGTTCCTTGATTTAATGATACATCAGGGATGACCACGAGTGATCATATTGTATAGTTATCCACTAGATAGGCGTTCGAAGCGATGCGGTGAGATCAGCTGATCGTTCATCCCAGGTCGCTTTGTTGACGTTTTGCAATCGGTACTGAAAGTGTGGCCCTTGATGTATGAATATGAAAGTTAAGTAGATTTTGTATACGTTCCTATATCTATGTTGTAGCATCGCCGAGCAGGCTACATCATATGCATGCATTTCAGTATGTACAACGGTGAGAAGATACGGTACGCAAAATGTGAAGGTCTCATGCAACGTTGCCCGTAGCCTCAATGTTGTAAATAATATTGACAGCAACACATGTAAGTATTTGTCAGATATATAACAGAGAGCAATGAGAAATGTTCTCAAGAAAGTGTAAGAGTAACAGGCACTGTAACATTACGTCATCAACTAGATATCATGATACAATGTTCAAAATAAAAGAAATGGAAATCACTGAAATCTGTTTTGATATTAACTGTTAATTGGTGCATGTTGTATACAAGGATTTCATGTATATGAATGGTAGCTGTTAGTTGCCAAATATTACCATGATTATATTTCAATATGATCAATGAAAGATATATATTAATTTGGCCTTTATTTAATTTTACAAAGTAGAAAGAAAAAAAATCAGACACAGAGGACCCTTTATATTAGTTAAAATACATATTCAAGGGTATTTGTACCAACTACAATTTTTATAAATTAAAATAATATATTCATACTAATTGCCAATCTCTAAAATGTTGATTGTATTAACAATGCAGTGTCTACATCCAGTTTGCATTGACAATAATCATGACTGTGACACAGATAAAGCTGATTCTTAACTCCATTAGGCCTTGCTTTTTATGTTTCCTTGTTCTAAACTGATGTTTCAAATTCCAACATAAACAAATTATTAATGTTTTTCTTTTTTCTCTTCACACCAAAAGATATCTGCATTGCACAATGACTCTTATTGTTTTATTTAATATCTTGGCACACTTGTGCATGTGTACTAGTATTTGATTACACATGCATGACTTTTTAGCTGTCATCTGTTTCTGAACTGAATATTATTCTAATAATGATAAGTAACATAAAATCAGTCAATTCATTGTGAAAACATTTTTAATTTCTTACAAAAGTTACTTTGATCCTGATCAAATCAAAATAGATCCAAATTAAATTGAGGAGATTAAATTATGCAGTCTTATTCATTTTAGCCAGTCTGTCTAAAGCCTGGTCCTATTTTTCAGGCAAAGAAATGAATGAAGATTTAAGAAAAAATATACCTTACCTGAGTGAATCAGTCAATATGCATATTGACTGAAATTTTCAGTCAAAATACATATTGGGCCTGACTATAGACACTGACTGTAACATATATAAGTATAATCTGTTATATGCAAAAACAAATAACATAAAAAAATCCATTTATCTACATGGAATGACTGTGGGGTTCAATTTGCATTTATTTAACCATCAGAAGATTTGATGATAAACTTTCATATTAATATTTTCATATAAAATTCATATTTGCTATATGATAATAATATCTACAAAATATACTTTATACTACAGGTGTCTTGAAGTACTGTTGAATGAAAATCAGGATACTTAGATACAGCAGGATAGTGTGTGGGTTTGTATGGGAAATAATTTGTCTACATCAAAATAAATATAATGTTACTAAAACAAGAAGATAAAACTATGATTTAGATCTATTTATGCATCATACACATGTTGTGGGCTAGTCAGTATGATTTGTTGTTTGTTGGGACACATCTCTGTAATTAACTACCATTTTAAGAGCATGAGTATCAGAATTCTGTAAGAAATGATGGATCAATGAATTAACACCTGTGATGACTCAGAACACTTAATGGTGGGACACATGTTATAAGGGGCAGAATAATATGGGTTAATCTCTTATTTCAATTTATGATGACTGGTATGTATATTGCAACTGAGTAACTGGGTGCTTAATAGATGCATGGTAGATGCATGTTCATTTGGCCTATTTCTAAAAAAATAATATAAATTTAAATATTCAGATGCAACTTTAATTTTGATATAAAAAGTAACATTTAAAATCAGTTGTTTATTATTATGAACGTTATTTCTTCTTAAAATATTTGAAAAGGCACGGATGTATACTTACTATAGATCTATAGATCATTGGTAAAGGCCTGTCAAAGATGTCTGTGTGCTGCAAATGTTGGCGTATCACTAAATTTACTGAATTGAAGTCCATGGTAGTATTTGTTGAGATTTGAATGCTTGAATTGTTGTGGGAAATAACGCAAAGGCTGATAAATAAAATGAGTTTGCATTATTTCATCGATGCAATATGTTAGCCCAGACCAGAGACCATATAATATTATATTATATGGTCTCTGCCCAGACTGACAGAATGCCTCGCTGTTTTCTGACGGAGAAAATACCGTGGCAATATACCATTTTCCAAAGTTACAATTCGTCTTGTAGTTGAAGACTCAACAAATGTTGATAATATAAACTAATAATCACTACAAAATATGTGCTAGTTAAAAATATTCAGTTGTAAACCACCGTTTTTGAACGAAGGTGCAACGGGATAACTCTTTAGCTTGGCTCCGTCTCTACATGTCAGTAGTTGTCGCAGCGCGCATTGATCCTGGAACCAGACCGGAAGCTACAGTTTGGACCGTCGCTTATATCATTTCAAAAGGAGAGTTATTGCCCTTTGGAACAAAAAGATCGCCCATTGCGCGGATCGATGATCATGATATATATCACTAGATTGTCTTGTCCAGACTCGATTATTTACAGACCACCATATTGCTGAGTGCGGCGTTAAACAACAAACAAACAAAACATAACATTTGGTCTTTGAAAGTAGGGCCAAAGAAATATATTTTGATTATCCACCTATTTTGTAAGAACTGACAGCATGTCCAGTGAACGATTGAATGTGTGGGTAAAACCTGAGGACAAAAGAGTTTTTAGCGTTTGGGGGAACAGACTGTTTTGTGCTACATAACTTTGGCCATGTACATGTAGTTTCGTCAAAAGCATCTATATTGATAATAATCCCACCTGCAAATGCAGCGATATATTTTATTTATTTATTTTCCATATTCCTTTGATGGAAATATCATACACTTCTTTAATAATTTGCCCCAGAATATACTGGAAAAATAATTTCCGTAGGCTTTTATAAAACAAAATATTGTTTGTTAGACGCAATGCGTGTAATGAAAAGAATGGGTTGTGAAACAAGGTTCGGTTACTGGATTCAGAGCAAAAGAATGTATGTTGAGAAGCGATGACCGAACTGTATGTGTGTTTGTCTCCCAAAAGCCGTGGCTGACGTGTTCGGTTTTGTGTGTAATTTACAGGTATTGAACACACTCGAAACTTCTAAATCGTAAACAAAGAAGGTTTGTTGCCTGATTATATAGATGGCTAGGAGTAAAATCAGTAACGCCTGTCTGAAATGATATCGTGTTACATATATATGTTCCCAGAAATATCCATTGTATGGTGTCAGTGTCCTGTTACCAGAATGACATGTATTTGTTGTAGAATGTATGCAGTTCCACAAACAAACAGGCCTTTGCATTTGTTTATGTTTACTTTCGATTTGTCAGATCTAGGACTTACTCTCCGTTACATTTATGTACTAGGATTAAGGCCAGCAGAACGATTGAAGGTCAGCGAAGAACTCAGCAGGGTCGTGCCCCTCAATGTCATTGAGAACCATGACATACGAATGACAAGGTTCAGAACGAGGTACTGAAAACTACTTGTACTACTCAACATTCGGTAGGGTTTTTTATCAGTTCGATACAACGGTTACTTGGGCTTCTAAGGCCACTCTAAGGTCCGGGTTAGAATAGGTCTTCAGTAACCAATCCTTGTCGTAAAAGGCGACTATGCATGTCTTAAGAGGCGGCTAACGGGATCGGGTGGTCAGGCTCGCTGACTTGGTTGATGCATGTCATCGTATCCCAATTGCGTAGGTCGATGCTCATGATGTTAATCACTGGATTGTCTTGGCCAGACTCGATTATTTAGGGACCGCCGTAATGTAGCTAGAATATTGCTGAGTGTGACAAATCAACAAAATCTGAGGCCACTATCACCAAAATTCCGGCATGCTTTTTTGATGTGGAAGGAATTTCAAAATTGACTACCTGAACAAAGTGTGCATTATCTACGCCGGTCTATCAATATTTCAGCAATATCAGGGCGGAAGACACCAGTTAGGGTATGCAAACATGCAGATTTTGTACCAATGAATCAACCGATCTGGTTAAGCCAGGGAACGCCACGGGCACGGATATGTCATACATGAGGTCGGGCGAATCTGGCAATGAAATAACAGTAACACGTCCCATTTTAATTCTGCAAACACTCCGCGCTGTGACCAGTCTCGGGCAAACGTATTTACAAAATTCAAACTTTACCTGAGTCATGGTTTTGTTTTGAAAATACATAAACGTTTCTACAAATATCATGACACATAATTCAACTCATTTTAACTTCATTCAACTAATTTATAACATAGTTAAAAAATAGCCAATTGTCGAAATCATGGGCGAGAACAGTTTTATTTGCTCAGAACGCGTGTTTTTTGGGCAAATAGATAAAGGTACGTCCACAAGTATCATGACACCAATTGAACTCATTGTTAACTTAATTCAACTCATTTGTATCCTTATTAACATTTGTCCATGACTAATACTTTTGAAAGCGTCAATGTGTCGGATTGTCACAATGGTATGTGTTTTTAACGATATCTTGATATCGAATTCCGTGATCACTGTAACGTATAATTAAAGGTGTAGGATGGTATGAAACCGATAAACATATAAGACCGAAGCATGTTTAATCACATTTTCAGAACGACAAAGATTAACAACAAGATTTGGCAGGTCGATCTCGATGTTTTTGAGTTTGAGCGTCTTATTGACTCATCAAAGATGAATCAACGTGACTGGGAGGAGATCGCTAAATGTATAAAGGTAATACATGTACCGTATTGTCGTAATATGTGGCCGGGCGTTTAGAACATTGACAAAGGGGGCGCCTATTAAAGTGAGTGACTTTGGTTTTACGCCGCTTTTAGCAATATTCCAGCAATATCACGGCGGGGAACACCAGAAATGGGCTTCACACATTGTACCAATGTCGGGAATCGAACCCGGGTCTTCGGCGTGACGAACAAACGTTTTAACCACTAGGCTACCCGACGGCCCCGGCGCCTATTAAAGGTATACACAACAAGTTACATTTGTCTTTTTCAGAAATCGAGCAATACTGAAAAAACTTAGTTCAAACGTCGATGAAACTAAAACCTGTTCGATAATAGTTCCTGGGCGATACTATACACCTTCTGCGGAGCTGTTTTCTCCCAAAGATAGTCTGTAACATACACAAGAAAGTATGGACTGTTATTCAAAGTTTCAGTTTTAGAATGGAGTGCTTAATACAGGATACTTTCATATTGATCTGGAAGTTGGCCAAGGGGCGCTTTTTGGAGCAGAACGCTTAATACACTGAATACGATATATTTACCTCTAGATCGCCATACGTGAAATATTGAAAATCGGCTTCCCCCCTGACCCACCGCCGCCCAATAACAAGTCTCGTGAAGATCCAGGGTAGAATAGGTCTTCGGCAACCCATGCTTGCCGTAAAAGGTGACTATGCTTGTCGTAAGATGCGACTAACGGGATCGGGTGGTCAGGCTCGCTGACTTGGTTGATGCATATCATCGTATCCCAATTGCGTGGATCGATGCTCATGATGTTAATCACTGGAATGTCTGGTCCAGACTCGATTATTTACAGACCGACGTTATATAGCTGGAATATTGCTGAGTGCGACGTTAAACAACAAATAAACAACAAACAGACAAACAACAAATCATCAATAACAAAACATTCTTGGTGTTCCCAACTTGCATGAATATTTCTTAAAGCGGCGTAAAACGACATCAGCTCATTTATGTTGACATTGTCAATGTTATAGGACCATTACGATGCATACACTGGCTTCGTGGTTGTCATGGGAACAGACACAATGGCCTACGCAAGCTCTGCCCTGTCCTTCATGCTGGAGAACCTCAGTAAGCCAGTCGTCTTCACTGGGGCACAGGTTGGTTACAGAGCATCCACACAGAGTGCAATGTTTGGAATACAAAAGATATTTTGTCACTGAAGTTTCACTAGCTATAATCATCAGATAAAGACCACATCCTGACATAACCTTATTCGTTTTCTCAAATTGTATTGAATCGAACAGACAACTTTAACCATTACCTGCCATAGTTACAATGTAAATACAATCGTATATCAATTCTTTGTTTCGTGGGACAGGTTCTCATATTTGTCATCGGACGGGTCCTCGTATATGTCATCAGAAATTTTCATATTTATCTTCAAAGTGTTATCATATATTATGTCATCAGGTTCCATCATATATATCATCTGGTTTCATCAAATATGTCATCCGGTTTCATCATATATGTCACCACACTACATCCTACACGTTGCTGTCATCAAAGCATCATCACATGTCTGGAATGTCATCAGAGCTTATCATACATGTATGTGAGGTGGTGAGGTGAGGTGAAATTGGGTTAAATGTCGCGTCCAAGATTATTGCACTTATATAGCGACGTGCATGCACGTGTTTGTGTGTGTGTGTGTGTGTGTGTGTGTGTGTGTGTGTGTGTGTGTGTGTTTGCGTTGCTGCTTGTACTATTCCGGACTGATGCCGATTTATAGTGCTAGCTCACTGAGATACCATGACGCAGTTTAACATGAATAACCAACTCAGACAGAGTATACTGACTCCGAGGCGACCAGTCCTTGTTTTAGGCCCTTTATGCCGAGCGCCGTAACAACAAGTACCATCTTTTAACGTCTTTTGGTATGACGCGGCCGAGGATCGAACCCCGGACCTTCCGCTCTCCGGTCATACATGTATGCGTTATCAGATGATCATCATATATGTTAACAGAAGATCACCATTTATGTCATCATAGGATCATCCTACATGTATGTTATCAGGAAATCTTCATCTATATTATCAGGAGATCTTCATATATGTTATCAGAAGATCACCATTCATGTCATCATAGGATCATCCTACATGTATGTTATCAGGAAATCTTCATCTATATTATCAGGAGATCTTCATATATGTTATCAGAAGATCACCATTCATGTCATCATAGGATCATCCTACATGTATGTTATCAGGAAATCTTCATCTATATTATCAGAAGATCTTCATATATATTATCACGAGATCTTCATACCAGTATTTGTTATCGGAAGATCATAATATGTCATCAGTGGATCATCATATATGTATATATCATCAGAAGATCATCATATATGTCATCAGAGTTCATCATATGTGCCATATGATTGAACCAATGCCGATTCGATGTTTGAATTTTGACTCACCATATTCTTTTTTTATATGTCATCAGATAGGACATCGTGTTTACCATCATAAGGGTCGTCATGTCTGTTATCAGAGGGGTCCTCATATTTGCCATCGCAGAGCCTTCGGTCAATATAGTGTACAAATATTATACAAAGGGTGTTTTTTTAAGTTCAGTGATAATTGTTTTTGTTATTTTAGCGAGTAGAGGATGTGTTTCAAATTAAGATATATCACCTCGTTTTGACAGATTTCTATCTTCGACGCCCGGAGCGACGGACCGGGGAACCTCTTCTGTTCCCTCATCGTTTCAACGCTCGACATTCCCGAGGTAGGACTATCTCAGTTCCCGGTTTGACGGATATACTAGGCGCTGCTATGGTGACCGAGGTGGTATGTGTGTGTGTGTGTGGGGGGGGGGGGGGGGGGGGAGGAGGGAGGAGGGGCATCGCTTTCTCGCTCTATAGCTTTCTCACGGTAAAGCAATATCCTCTCTTGACCACTTTTGGGGTCGCATGTGTTATCTGTAAAATATAATTGATTGATTTAGCCCAATTTAGTTTCATGTGACCATCGGGCCGAGAGCGCGTGGCGGGTCATGGCAACACGCTCTAAATAAATCAGGTTAATTTTTTTTATAATTTTCAAAAGAAGTTAAGAAGAGTATGATTAACCATTCATGGCTGATTGAATTGCAAATTACAATCTTATAAGTGCGGGTGTTCTTTAAATGGTTTTGAGTGGAATTGAATGTTACAGTGTGTCATACTGCTGTCCGTAAATATTCCTTCTGACATTTGATTTATGATCAACTTGTATTGTGTGTCTTGTCTTGTGCAAATCTATAAGTATATGTATTTGCACATAGTAATTTGATAAACACCGCTGTCAGTGAGTGAGTATGGTTTGACGTCGTTTTTAACAATATTCCAGCAATATCACACCGGGGAACACCTGAAAAGGGCTTCACACATTATACGCATGTGGGGAATCCAACCTGGGTGTTCAGCGTGACGAGCGAACGCTCTCATCACCAGGTTACCTCACTGTCCCCATCGCTGTGACAATGGTGTTAACACATGTGATATGTTTACTGGAGTAAACTAAACATATAGAGAGACATCCTACTTAGTGTGGCTACACAGTTAACGTTGATAACAATATGAAGTGCATTACTATGATCATCTATAACATATGTTAAATCAGCTATCATTCTAATATTTTATGTATATTTTAAGTATAGTTTTGTCTTGGTATAAGAGGCAAAATAGCGGTGAATATTATAGGAATGGATCACTGAATATCAACCAAAAGAAAAAATGTACGCTCTAATGTCAAATGTACGGGAAATATCGCTCTATCGCTTTCTCGCTTTTTCGCTCTATCGCTTTCTCTCATAACTTACTATTGTCATTTGAAAGAATCGGTTGTTCTTTAACTTCTTTTGAATATCATGTACTGTTGAATATGAAATTGACGCTAGAGTTTATCAAATGCAAAATTGGGAGTGGACTTAATTACTTGAACTTTGCATTAATGTCTCAGAAATGAATGTGGATAAGACGGCCTCACTGCACACTTAGAAAGCAACGGAACTCGCAACTTGAATATAAAAACAAACAACTATCTATTTCCACATTACGGTTTATTAAGAACAATATGTCATTCAAACATAAGAAATAACGTTAACAATAACATGATAAAGGAATCCGATGAGTTACCTTTGCTGGGGTGAGGACTTCCAGTTTCATGACATCTACTCAGCATTCTGAATAAACATTGATATCATCTAAGTGTTGTTTTAAAGAAAACACCATTGTTTTGAGGAGGTACACAACGCAGCACTAATAAGCGGTGTTATTATATCATATCATATAGGTAGAAACCTTTATTTATACAGTAGAGTAGATTAAGATGTAGTTATTTACACAAAAGGGTAAACATAATGAAACCAAATGAAGAAAAATCTGCATGCGCCTCCCCTAGTCACTCACTCATACAATATATCGTCCGTCCTTCTGTCAGGTGCTGCTGTGTTTCAACAAGAAAGCCTTCCGTGCTAGCCGTGTTGTCAAGATGGACTCTGAGGACTTTGACGCCTACGCCTCGCCCAACATGCGCGCCCTTGTGACACTGGATTGCAAGGTGGCAGGTTCGATATTCATATTTACTTCCAAATAATAGTTTCCCATTCACTACGCATTAAACTGTTCCCAGTCAGTCATGTCTTAGAATGGAGAAACTAATTCAGTTATAAAAGCTACCATATAAGTACTTCACGTTTTCCCCCATTGCTAGTGAATGCATACGGCCGAATGCGAAGTCCAGCAATGTCATGAAGCCATTTTTAACTCATGGAATCCCAACTCCTGGATTCACCACAAACATTGTGTGAAACCCTTTCTTTGTACCCACCCACCCGCAATATCTCGCAATCCTTATTGTAAATTGACGCCGAAGGCCTGGGTTCGATTCCCGACATGGGTACAATGTGTGAAGCCCATTTCTGGTGTCCCCCGCCGTGATATTGCTGGAATATTGCTAAAAGCGGCGTAAAACCATACTCACTCACTCACTCACTATTGTAAATTGATTTGACGGCTATTTGGTTGCGTCTTTTGTTTTGTATCTGATTCAAAACAATGCTATGGTAGCCAATTTGTCCAAGGTATTATAAGAAAAGAGTGACTGGATAAATGAGGATAAGTTGTGATGCAGATGTAGCTGGTGCTGGAATCGGTATACATTACTCTTATATACGTATTTGTGTCAGTCTTTCACTCGCTCCCTCCCTCCCATCAACTCACTCATTCACTCCAGTTGAGGAAAAGTTGGTCTTGAAGAAGCCAGAAGGTCCTCTGCGTGTTCAGAAGATCTGCCCCCAGAGTGATGTGGGTCTTTTAGTTATCTTCCCAGGGATGACACCGCAACAGGCACGTATTGAAATGACATTCTTAAATTTAAATAATGTAGTGCACTTGTCTCGTTTCACCAAACTATCGCAGCGAAACGACCATGGAAACCCCAGTAGTTACCTTAACCTCTGTAGCCTCTAAGGTTTAACTCAGACTGCTGCCGCTTTTTGTGTTTGAAACGTCACCTTTTTAGTCACCTTTACAGAAAGATCTTCCTCGAGATCATTGCCTGAAAACATTGTGTTTTCGTTGTGTTTTTGGTTTTGGTTAGTGACGTTGGCACCTACATGTAAATAGACCATACTGCACTTAATGTGTCTTTTATTACTGATTTTTGCAAATGTAATTCATGTTCTCGTTATATTATTTAAATATTCATGTATCATTAGTGAAAAATCGTATGATATCACCAGTATAAACTACTTTCTTATGCTTTGTTTAATTGTCACATCGAATTCCACGTTGGAATACCGTATTTGGTTTTGGAAATTAAAGTTCAAATATACTCTCAAGGTCAGTCACTAAAACAATGCATGTGTGATAGCTCAAGAGGTATTTACTATGGTGGGATAAAGGTTGGTACGCACTATCCTGAAGGACGGGAATTTCTGTTATAATTAGACATGCGTTTCTCCAAAACCGAAGTGAAGTCCTCGAACCGAAAGTACGTATTACTTTCCTAATAGTATAGCTATAACATGGGACTTCTTTTTTATAGTTGCTTTGCATTAAACATGTGTTTTTTCAAAATGTCATTGCACATATGATTCCAAACCGGAAGTAATGTGATTAAACAGGAGGTGTAATCTCCCATGAGGATGTAGTAGACATGTCATAGGCCAGGGGCGGTCGGGTAGCCTAGTGGTTAAAGCGTTCGCTCGTCACGCCGAAGACCCGGGTTCGATTCCCGACATGGGTTCCAATGTGCGAAGCCCATTTCTGGCCCATATCCCCCGCCGTGATATTGCTCGAATATTGCTAAAAGCGGCGTAAAACCATACTCGCTTGTCATTGGCCAAGAGAAGCTATGTTGTCACACTTGAAAAGCGGGATCGCGTGTCATGATTTCTGGAGAGGCTGCTTCTGTTTTTGCGAGTAACAAAATAATTAAACATGGTCTAACATCATCTTACCAAGTAGCTCCCTATTAATAACCTTTCTTAGCCAGTGCAGTAGTGAGCCTATATAAAACTATGGGAGATACTATCGACAAAGTTCTGATGGCTGTGATTTAATTAATATAGATGCACGACAACATAATGATTGGTACACCGACATATATTTCACAAAGCACAAATTGGGTCCGTGTGGACGCAAGCACACGGCAACGTGAACAAATGTAATCTAAGTGTATGCTTTTCTCGATCATCAGAGTTTTTGCTTCTCGAAGAAATACTTTTTCTGTAACATGTATAGCATAACTCCCCACTTATCGCATAGAAAGTCATGTGAAAGTTTACGGGTTCGTCTTTAGATCTACTGTCGATTGGGATGCTGACAAGGCCTTAAAACTTTGAATATACAGCATCTTCAACCATATATCATGTTGCGGATGTTGGAGTAACATGCATGAGTGTTGAAGCGGAGCATTATGAGTCAGTAAGGTTTTACGCCGCTTTTAGTATTATTCCAGCAATATCACGGCGGTAGACACCAGAAATGGGCTTCGGGCAGGTGGAATAGAAACCGGGTCTTCGGCGTGACGAGCGGATGCTTTAACCACTTGGCTACCCGACCGGTCGTAGCCGCTAATACAGAAGTTGAAATCCATATATCTGTAAACAATATATATTATGTGTTTTGTTCATTTGTATATTGATGTTGCAGGTGAAGAACATCGTGAAGGACTTACGTGGCGTGGTACTGCTGACATTTGGGACCGGAAATGTCGATAACACGGTCGTCGATGCATTGAAAAAGTTGCAAGACGAAGAAGGAACAGAAGATACAAAACGCCTTTTGGTCAACCTGACTCAGTGTCTGACGGGGTCAGTGACGTCAGCCTACGAGGCGTCCAAGGTCAGAATTGTTCACTGAAGTTGGCCAACGTTGTATCTTGCTCGATTAACAGGGAGGTCAAGAACATGCGAGGCGGTAGGGTAGCCTATTGATTAAAGAGTTCGCTCGTGAGGCCGAATACCCGGATTCGACTCAAAAAAGTGTGAAGCCGATTTTTGTAGTTCCCGCCGTAATATTGGTTAGATATTGTTAAAGCGGCGGACAATCATACCCCCTCAGGAATAACTTAACCTTAGACATCTTCAAAACTCCGTAGATTTGTTTCTGAATCTAACATCGTTATGGAATTAACCATAAATTGTGTGTTTTCACAATATGCACACCCAATCTGAATTGAAAATAACGCAAACATATTTCTTAATCGCTTTTAAGGTATATACTACATTTTTATATATCCTTATTTGGAGTTACCTCCCTTCACATATGAACAGGACTATCCCGAGATATGAGTGTGGGCACTTTAAAAAACACTACGAAAATGGCCAATCTTTGAACACCTCACTTTCATACAGACTCAAAACGTCCACGGAGTACAGAATATTTGATGATGAATAAGCGAGCTCTGAATATACTTTGACTTACCAATCTCAAGAGAGAGAGAGAGAGAGAGAAATATCTGACTAATTACATTGCACAGTCAAATTGCTTGTTTTCGCTAACCAGGGCCTCAAAGACTTGGGAGTGGTCCAAGGTTGGAACATGACTACAGAAGCCGCCTTCACAAAGCTCTGCTACGTGAGGGCGAAACAAGACGTCTTCTCAAAACAGAAAGAGGTACGAGCGTTGTTGCCGTCATATCTACTATCGGACAGACCATTTGATATTCTGAAGCAGGTGGTGTGGGGAATTTGAGAAAATACTGTAAAAAGATAACGTCGCCGCCTCGCTTTTTCCAACATTTTGTTCGCTTTGGTCGTGGATGCCGTGAAAACAATGCGTCCTTAAAAACATCTCTCCTCCTATCAGAGAAAAAAATGTATGTTTTGAGGCAGTGACCGAAAATATATTCTGTGTCGAACGAAAACTATCCACCCCTCTCCAGTTTATTAAATGATTCGTACGAAATTTGATACCAGCAACTATCCAAATGCTGCCGAGCCTGATGTGAAGGAACTCTCTGTTGTTATTAAAAAGTATTGATACTTTGAAAGTGAATGGGTAACAGATAAATCAGTGTGGCAAGACCTTGTCATTTACACCTTTGTTGAGATCTGTGAGCGCGGGTATTGTGCTGACAAACCAAGATGATATTAATAAGGGTGAATCTTGGAAACCCTAAAAGACGCAACCCTACACAATGAATTGTTCCCTCTTAGACGACTGTGAACTACCGTTCCATCATACCTTTAAGCATTGCGAGTGAGTGAGTGAGTTGGGATTTGATGCCGTTTTGAAAGTATTTCAATCAAATCACGGCATGTAAGCTGGGTGTGGGTGGAAAGCTCGAGATTGTGCAGGTCTTCGAGACGTTTACCACTTTTGTGAAAGCTTCGAGCACAGGCATGGTGCTGACAAACCTAGAAACACAATTAGGGCGAACCAGGATTCAAATCCATGATCATGTTGTTGGCACACCTAAGGGACTTAACTCTGCACAGCCAATGTGTCCTTAGCACCGTGAAGATATATTCACTAAATTCAAAACATCAGTTTATTCGATAATCTGCCGAAACAAGCTCCAATATAGCAACAAGATTACACTGTGAAAACAACTACATGAACGGATACAGGAAATATGTCTATAAAATGCGGTGTTCATAATAATGCCCCTGGAAACAAATTGAACACGTCCTTTTATAATGATGATGACGTGATTAAATATTATCTTCATGTCATCATAATACTAACAGATTTCAACAGATTTGTATGAAAGCATAATTATATTATCGGAGCGCCCCTGAAGATAAATTGATGCGTACCTAATATACACATGTACCTTTAACCAATAATTAGGAAATTCCTTGAATTGGTGTTGCCTTTTTACAGATGATGGAAGAAAACCTCCGAGGAGAGATGGATGTGATCCCGAATGAAAACAAAAATATCCACAATAATTAGGGCTTAGGCGAAGAACATTTTTTCTTTTAAGTTAGTTACACATTCATATATATATTCTTGCTATTTTTGACACACTTATATTGGGCCTGAAAAAAACATTTAATCAAATTTCGCCATTTCTTTTTTAACATTTCGAAAGATTTTTGACACCCATTGTTTCTGTTTGAGGGCTTCCTTTTTATCATTTTTTAGAGAGGAAGGGATGCGACATTTAATCATGAGTGCCATGTACTGAAAAATATATACTTGTATTCATACCCCTAATAAAATGGTAGACTAATTCAACTCGTTCAATCTCCGTTAGTACTTTCACAGTTTTTAAAAAACAAACATGTTTCTTTATCACCCATATCTTCCTGTACACTTCTGTCTTTGTAGAAATGATCATGTTTAAACTTGAATTGAATATTGATTTAATTATATTTCATATGAAATATTTAAATGTTGCATATAATGTGTTGTAATGCATTGTTCATTTTTTGACATACCACAGGCGGGGCTGCATTACTTAAGAACCCTGTGTCCAAATAGAAAACAAACCACACAAGCATTTAGCCGTTAGAGGTGTCACCAATGATATTATTTTTTATGAATGTTTTGCGGCAATCATATAGAGAATCTCACCCGAGTGTCTTTTGATATCAAATATATCAACACGAGTTGATAAAAGTGGAAAAATTCCGAGGCTTGCCAAGGATTTTTGCCACTTTTATCAACGAGTGTTGATATGGAGGATGAGATTTTATTTATCATCCAACATCATTTTTTCAACTTTTTCAATTTGTAGACAGTAATTAGCAGTGTCTTCAGTATAAAAAGTACTGCAAACAGCTTCAGTAGCAGAGCCATTAGTGATGTCATTTGATTGTGACGTCATGGTAACCAATGACGTCACAATGGTCTGCAAAGCATTGTGATGTTATTTCATTGCAGCGATATCTACAGTGTAGATATCGCTTGATCTCATCCAAGCATATCTCCTGTAGGAGCCAGTTTTGGATGATAAAAGATGATAACAACCGCGGTTCTTTCCTGGTTGTAGGCAATTCCTTCACATGGACTGCCTTACACACCAGCCCCTTCACAAACAGAGAACTATAAACTGCCCACAAAGAAAGTATAAGCAAAACATTTCAAACGTAATCAACACCTTACTAGGCTTAAAATAATCACCGAAGCATCCCCAACTTTACACAAACACAACAGTAATACCCCAACAAATACATCACAGTCAAATTTTAAGCCATCATCAAACATTAGAGTATACTTTCCTTATGTATATGTTTGTCATCCACTATAAAACACATGCACATAAGTAGGTAATAAATACCTTATATTTGTTATGCCTTTTCAGCTCCCCTGACCTCAAAGTCATGTGACCTTATGTCCGCGTAAACAACTGCTCCCTAGATCAATGGACTGGAACAATAGAGCTGTCATGTCACTTGCTTGTGTCTCCCCATGATGACCCCTGATCGTCTTGAAGAGGGTGTTTAGTCAGTCGTTGGGCTAAAATATGTTTACCTTGATACATTTGCACATCGACGTTTCTGAAAACTAAACCTTCTTACTCAGACCTTTTCTTTCAAATTGTGCTGACATTGCCTAGATAGTAGTGGGGCTTAAAATATATGTTTTTATTTCGCGATATTTCACATTTTGACTTTTGCTTGACATTTGCATTTTGACCATGATCAAAACATGTCTTCATATGCAGCTCCTCAGAAACCACCGGATCAGTGACGTTGATTTCACATGCTTATCTCCAGCAATGATAACACCTGAGTTTGCTTGAATCAGATATTCAATATGGCCACCACAGCACCCATATTGAAATATATATTTATGGTCACTGCTTGTTTTTAACTAATTACTGTGCGGGTCACTTTTTAAATTATTTATAATATGTACCTCCTTTTAGGAGCAACTATTCTTATTCAAATTCAGTAATATTATTCAGTAATATTTCCTCTTGTTTTAACAAAACTTCCTAATTTATACTACCTTTAGGATGAACAAAACAGTTGTGCACAGGAAATATTGAATACAATGATTAACCGACAATGGTCAAATAGTGTTTAAAAACACTCCATTCTTCACATCAATACCACAAACAGTTTTCAGTCAGTTCAAAGTTCCTTCATAGACAAAATTCATGTATATTTCGAGCTAATGCACTATATATAAGCTACTCCATGAAACCAAGGGCATAATTAGTTGCCTGTATTGTCGTACGCACACACACACACACACACACACACACACACCACACACACACACACACACACACACACACACACACACACACACACACACACACACACACACGCCCTAGGTTTCATGGAGTAGCTTATATATAAACTTCATGATAGCACTAAAAGTGATACCTTGGATTGCAGCGTCCACTTTTGACTGGCCGACAAAATCTTGCAGCTTTACTGGTCCTGGAAATGGCAAATAAATATTTGAAAAATACATAAATTGCAACTTTAATGTAATTGGATAGTCATACAAATATAACAATTGCCAATTTCCATTCTCAGAAATCCACAATGCCTCCAAAATTAGACAAGCCTACCAGACAAACATTGAATTTATTCAACAGGCCCGTACCAAGCATTTAGCTAAGACAAAGATAAATTTCTATCCTTCTAAACGTGTGTTACAAATATAATGTACAAACAATTGTCTTGACATACATGGCACAATCCCATTACAAAACAAATCCCATTACATCCTTTACTAATAATACTGGACAAACTACAATAACATAACCCATATATGTGCACTGTGGATACTAAGCTCCACTGGTTTCTAAATAAGAATCTACATAACTCCCTACCAATAGGATATGTAGACAGTAATATATGTTTTGGTTTAGTTTGTTGTTTACAAAAATACTGTTGCTAGGATGCAGCAGTGAACTTATTGTTGTGTTTGTTTGCTTGTTTCTATAACAATATTCCAGCTATATGACAGCAGTCTGTAAATATTTGAGTTTGGACCAGTCCATCCAGGGACTAATATCATGTGCATCAGTTTACGCAATTGGGATACGATGACACACATCAACCAAGTCAGCAAGCCTGACCACCCAATCCCGTTAGTCGCCTCTTACAACAAGCGGGGGCACGGGTGGCCCAGTCGTCTAAAGCGCCGCGATTCGCTGTGCAGAGTTGCGTCCCTTGGACACGCCAGAAACCTATGATTGTGGGTTCGAATCCCGGTTCACCCCGATTATGTTTCTAGGTTTGTCAGCACCATACCCGTGCTCGTGGGTTTCACCGAAGTGGTAAACGTCTAAGACCTGCATCACTTCGGGCTTTCCTCCCACATTAAGCTGACACGCCGCGATATAACTGGAATACTGTTAAAAGCGGCGTTAAACCCAACTCACTCACTCACTCTTACAACAAGCATATATAGTTGCCTCTTATGGCAAGCATGGGTTGCTGAAGACCTTTTGTGATGCATGCCATATATATAGCTAATATTAGCAAATTCCATTCACTGGCATTCAGGAGTATACACTGAGCCACAGCGGGCAGCTAATTTTGGCTTATGGCACATGTAACTAGTACTTTGGGGGAACTTTTGTACTGAAAGTGTTGTTTCATTGGTTGCCATCAGTTACAGAGACACATGGACAAATTGACTAACTATGAAACTGGATGTAACATTTAATTAAATAACTTTGTGCAACATACTTCCTTATAATAATTATGGTTTCTTTTATTCACTGTGGCACATGAACACTCGCTCACCTGGAATGAGTGAGTGAGTTAGGTTAGATGCCGCTTGGAACAGTATTTCAGGTATATCACAGCGTGTCAACTTGATGTGGGAGGAAAGCCCATTGTGATGTAGGTCTTAGACATTTACCACTGGTCAAACCCATGAGCATGTGTATGGTGCTGAACCATGAACCCAACACATCCAGGGATAAAACTCTGCACTAAAGAATATAAACCGAGGAGTAAGAAGTGAAAAACACCCTTAATATTGGAAGAATTATTATGTCATTATAATGTGAAAAGGAACAAGTCTTGAGTCCCACTACCAACTAACCAAATTTCATTATTTTGAGCAATAACTGAGTTATGGGTGGCAAATTTCCAATTCAAGAAACTGAGGTTGTCAATCAGGTAAAGTTTCATTGTCCAGTGGTCTCTGAGAAGATTGCTTGTATTGTGCAAAGAATTGCATTTTGAGAGAGTGCAAATTAAGGGCATGTAATGGTCAAAATATAAAACATTACGAAAACAGAATCTGTGATGATCCCCATTACAATCTCTACATACTGGATTTCATTACATATTGTACAAACATGGCTAAGTAATGTCCAAAAGAAGTTTCATCTTTTCGAAAGCTGGATGTGATGAGGTCAAGTTAAAATGTATAATTTAACAAGAGCACTAAAATTACTGCACATGTATCACCTTTCAAACAAAAATGACTTAAGAAGTAATGGCCGTAAATAGCTTTATCAATATTGGTGTTATGGCATCAACACACTTGAAGTTTTGGAGAAGATTTGTTCTAAATCTAAGATGGCTAAGTGGCAGTCAATTCCAATTCCATTTTTGATGAGTTGATTTCCCACAAATACTTGATGGAAATAACTTGATTCTGATTGGACAATCAGGTTATGAAATCACAATAATCCCCCTCTTATTAAAAAGGCTGTGTTACGACGTAATTGTAATAAAAAGGTAAATTGTAATACTTGCAGCAAATTGTAATAATTTTGACGTAAATTGTAATAACAACATAAATTGTAATAAAATTTGACGTAAATTGTAATACGCAAATTGTAATAAAAATTGACGTAAACTGTAATAATCTCAACTTGCGGTAAAATGTAATAACTTTTTACGTAAATTGTAATAACCTTATAAGTTTAGTGTCAAAGGCATTAAATGACTAGAACCTATCCTTGTCAGGGTTGGTACAGGGTTTATCGTATAATCGTCATTAAAGTATGGGTGTGGGGGAGGATTGAGGTCGTTATCATGCATTGTTGTATAATTATATGTATATATAAACGCATTGGAATTTCATTTCTATGGTTGTCCAGAAAAGGATTAATTACTAGAATGAACTTAGTTTTCTTATTTATTTGAGAAATACTCTGTGTGTTTTGTATTATATTTTGACAAAGAATTCAAATACATCAAATGAGTGACAAATCTCCTGTGCAATGTCAAATGAAAAAAAACAGTCGTCAGCAAATGCAGCATAGATTTCCCATGCATGGGAAAGGAGAATACTTAATACATAACATT